AAAGAGTGTATTGAACCAATTATTTACTTGTAAATAATCAATCTTTAAAATTGAACGTTCTATTTTCTTCCAAATACTCACCCCTTTTACAAACACATGCTTCTTTCGTTTTTAGAATTTCAAAACGAACTAAAATTTTAGAATTATAATTTTCCTTTCAGAACATAATATTTTAAGATTCGCGCATAATCTTCTTTTTGGGTTTTACTCTTACAACACTTGATTCTCAGCTAGAAACTTTGAATTAACACCCTTCTATCGTCAAGGATCTCTCACTTCATTGGAAATCCTAGAAAGAAGAAGAAGGAAGATCAGTTCCAAAGTCCTTCTCTCTAGTTCTTTTTCTCTCTAAGTTTCTTTGAGACTTGAGTTTATGAGGCTCAAGTTAAAAAAAAATCGTATACACACTCTTCTCTCACATGATCAACCGGACCCTTAACTGGAGAACTCTCAAAACTAATCAAATTTTTTAGAATTTCTTAACTATCAGAGTCACTCAACCACATTTCAAGACAACTCAATACCTAATTATTTCTAAAAAGACAAAAATTAACAAAATTTAATAATGTTATATTATAAAATATACACTACATTTATTTAAATATTTTTAATCAAATTTATTATTGATAGTACTATTATCTTGAGAGTATTTTTAGATTTAAAATATTAAATAAAATTTATTTAGTTAAAATTTGTTTATATATCTGTTAAAAAATTTAAGTATTTATTACTTGTATATATTTTGAGGGAGTAGTAATTTCTAAAATAGAGTTTATTATGATGATAATTGAGGCTCAATTTTGTAACTTTTTTGTGATTCATCTAAACTAGATTATATATAATGGAGAATGATTAATCTTTTTTTGCTTTAAGATTTGGTGTTAGGAAATAACATGTGAAGTGAAACTCAAAAAGTATTTGATGTATCAATAAGTTGTTGATCTAAGTAGTACTAAGTTTAATTATCTTATGTAAAATATTAGGATGAAATTTTGTGAATGAAAAGACATGATTAGAAAAAAAAATTCCCTAAAGGTAATCAGCTAAATTTTTTGACAGAGGTTAACTATAACTTTTAATATGAGTAAATGATGATTTTGATCTTTAAATTTGGAGGACATTGTCACATTAGTCCCTAATTTGATTAAAAAGATATGAAATGAGTTTGTATAAGGGCAAATTAACAGTCATATTAATTTAAAATTTAAGCAAACATGTAACTAAGGTGATAATATCAACCCCTATATATAACATATAAATTTTTATAGATTTTTAGGGACTTTTATTTGAACAAGAAGATTCTTAGAGATTTTTTTAAAACTTTTTATAATTTGATTTTTACTTATCATAATTATCTATAAATTAAATTTTAACATTTTTAAAATAAAGTATTAATAAATAAAAATAATATATACTATTCTA